CGTACATGGTGTTTACAATACACTTTTCAGAATTCCAATGAAGCTCAACGACCAAGAGCCTTGTATAGAGTGATCAACAAACAGAAAATTATGGATGAAAAACTATTTACAAAATCGTGGGCAAACTACCATGACAAATACAACCGTGAAAGGAGGCAAAAAATACGGTATTGCAGCAAAAGCTATAGAAATTCACACACAAAAAGTAACAAAAGTCGGAGCAATGTCAAGGCTTCAGAAAAAAAAAAAAAAAAGAAAACTATAACAGTAATAACTATCCCCACCATTAACAGAAAACTTCTAACAGTCATTCCAAGATTAAAAGCACTCATCATCACAATAAGAGTTGTAGGTATAAGCTTACTGCAAAACATAATACTTTGATCAAGAACACCAATTAGGGGAGCAAACCCCAGGACTTGGATCATTTTTCATCCTCCTTCAATCTAATCCCAACTAGATTAGGTAATGCTTCCTCCTTTTTTGAGTCATTTCCAGTATCTCTTACTTTTGTTACCTGTTCACCACAGGGGCCATAAGCCCAGCTACAAAGGAGGAAGTAAAGCAGATTGATGAAGCTCATTACAGCGAGAACCCAATAGTAATAGTTGTAATGACCTTTGTTTATGTTGCTCGAAACCCAACTCTCTTTCCCCCCTCTTGAGGTTAGGTCATTCACAGTGCTAACTACAACAGTGGATAGCAAATTGGCCACAGCCATTCCTAGCCCAAAGAGAGAAGCTGCAATACTTGACAGGCTTTTAGGGAGCTCAGTATAAAAGAACTCAGTTTGCCCTATTGCAGTGAAAGCTTCAGCTAAGCCAAGCAAGCAATATTGTGGCACAAGCCACATTGCAGACATGTCTAACACTGCACTAGCATTGTTTAAGTAGCCTTCCTGGATTGCCTTCCCTCGTCTAATACTCTCAATGATTGCTGAAACTACCATTGCCATCCACGAAAGAAACAGCCCAATTCCCATCCTTAGTTTAACACTTAACTGCACTGGTTTACCCTTGATCTTTGAAGCCAAGGGGAGAATCACACGGTCATACAGAATAACCCATATCACCATTATGATAAGGCCAAAGGTAGCAAAAGATGCTGCTGGAATTTGAAACCTTTGAGAAATGTGTCTATCCATGGAGCTAGCCTGGAGCAACATGAACGAGCTCTGGCTAGCAGTTATTGACAGCATGATCCCTGTGCTCCACACCGGTAAGACCTTTATGAGTGCCTTTAGCTCTTCTACTTGCTCTATTGTGCAAAGTCTCCATGGATCTACAGCCAAGCCATCAGGGCCTATATCTTGTTCAGGATTTCTAATGATGCAAGCTTTATTCAAAAATCTAAGAGAAGAAAAGCAAACATTAGATAAATTGGTAAGAACATTTAAGCACAACAGAAAATTGTTATATGGATTAGGCATGTAGAGATACCTTAACTTATCAGAAGGCACAACAATCTTTGAATCCCCATTGTGATGGTAATGCTCCCTTGAATTTGTAGAGGGAAACGAGAGGTTTCTGTTTCTATAAGAAACAACAATCACTTGGGCAAGGCCAGTAAACAAGCTTTTCTTTGGTTTCTTCTTGAGGTAGAGAGGAGAGGCAATGAAAAACACAATAGTAGCAACGAACATTAGAACGGCTGGAACTCCAAAACCCACTTTCCATCCTATGTGATCTTGCAAGTAAACAATTCCTGTCAAAGCAATTAGAACAGCAAGAAACGATGAAGCATAGTACCAACCAAAGAAGCTCTCTAAGATCCCCTGATGTTTTGAGTTATCTCTTCGCTCTAATTGATCAGCTCCAAACGCTATGGAGCATGGCCTAACACCACCAGCCCCAATGGAAATCAGAGCAAGAGAGGAGAATAGGTGAGTCAATTGTGCTGCCGTTGGTGATCTACAAGTCAGGCTTGAAGGAATGCAAGGGGGAGGCTTTGATTCTGGTACCATGGCTGTTAACCATAAAAGAACTATCCCCTGTTCGCATTCAAAATTCAGTATGATTCTCCTGACGTAATAATTACAGCAGTGCTATTTAATTCAACCACATGGTGTAAGGCATCATGTTCATTAATTGAACACAAGACATCAAGCAAATTAAGAGAAAAAAACATATTCTTGTGCTTGCCATATAATACCCTGCAATTGTCATCTAAAAAACCTTTATATTCATCATGCGTTGTGTATATCTCTAAAAGGATTAGTAGAAACTCTCCATTCTCCAAAAGGACATCCTATATTCCTATTCTTAAAGAGTTTAACTAAACCATCAATTATATCAGTGCTCTGTATATATCTCCAATCAAAGAATGCAGAGATGAAGAACACGCTTTATAACCATTCAGGAAGATATTAAGAAGAAATGAAAAAGAAGAAACAACGAGAAGATCAAATCAAATCCTTTGGAGAAAAGGGGAAATAACAACCATATATATTTTTTGATATGTAGAGATTAGGGATTGAACCATAGACGTCTGCTCCACAGATAACTCTACTATCAAATTACATAGATGATTGATGGTGCAAATAACAACCATATAAAGAAGAAAGGGACTTAAGAAACAGGAATTTTACCAGTAGACTGGTGATGGAACCAAAGCCAATGGTGAGGAAACGACCCAGATATGAATCAGAGAGGAAAGCACCGAGAAGAGGCATGAAACTGGTAGCAGCTGTCCAGATGAAGATAACGCTGGTGCCTTTAGCAACGCTCATGTGATAGTTCTTTATCAAGTAAAGTATCATGTTTGACACCAATCCATAGCTTGCTATCTTCTCAAATGCTTCATTTGCTGCAATTTAGTTCACAAACCAAAGCCAAAGTTTCGAGAATCAGCACCAAATTAGCTACTTAAGTTCAGTTTCAGTCAAAGATTCACCAAAAAGGGTAAGGACTATGGTTAACTCTAGTATGATCACAAAGTGTATGATACAATGCCGATGAAATGAGCTTCAATGTATTGTTACTAATTTGTGTGTACCTATTATAAATGGTATGGTAATGAGACCACCCTCCTGTCTTCTGGGAATTTCTTGGCTTCCCATTTCTCTTTGATCTGAGGAATTCTCCACCTTATCTTCCATTGCTGAACTACAGCTTCCTCCTGATAGAGAATGAAAACTAAAGAAAGAAACAGAGGAGTAAGTGGGAAAGAGAAGAGTTGAAGATTACTTCAAGTTCTGCTGGGTATTTAAACCAAGAAAAAAAGAAAGAAAGATGTATTAGCGTGCAAGCTGATAGCTGATGTAGTAAATGTTTGAGTTAATTTTTACGAGTTTTTATTTATTTTTTTTTTTTTTTGGTTGTTAATTTTAATTTTTTTTTGATTGAAAATTTTTAAATTTTTTTTTAATTTTACCAAAAATTAGTTTAAAATTGATTAAAAAATTTTTGTGATATTTTATTTTTAATTTTTTTTCTTTTTTTTGTTTTTGGTTTTTTTCGGTTAAAAAAATTTTAAATTTTAGTTTTTTAAAAAAATTTAATTTTTTAAATTTTAATTATTTTAAAAAAAATTTAACCCTTTTTAAACTTAACCCAACCTTTTCCGCGGAACCGGTCTTGATTACCAAAAAGAAATAATAAAATACTGAAAATTCAAAATAATTGAGTAATGGACATACCATGATCCTAACACCCTTTTTTTTTTGGGGGGTACATAACACCTTTTTTACCTGTTACATCAACCTTCCTTTTTCTGTCTTTTAAAAGGCCAAAAGCCAAAAGGTGACCTCAGTGGTGGATTTATGAGTGTCGTTTTATATAGTTTAAATTTAGGTAGAATAATTTTCTCCTAATTCTTACCTTTAGAATTTTAAGTTTATTTTTGTATTTTTTTCCTTTATTTTTTTAACCAATTTTCAACATGCAATTTTTCCTTCCAACATTTTTGGAAGTAAAAACCTTTTTCTTAGCTTTTCAAACCTCATATTCACTTAACAAAATTTAATCAAATAATTTTATATAATAAATAAATAATAATTAAAAATTCTTTGCTTTCTATACATAGTTCTTATTAAATATTTTATTTAATTAAAAATATTTTTAATTATTATTAATTTATTATATAAAATCATTAAATAAATTTACATAAAATTAAAGGATTGAGACAAAGAAAAAAACTAGAAGAAGTACTTTTTACTAAATATAAAAAGGATTACAATCTCAATAAAACTTTTTAAAAAATTTATTGCAAGATTTACTAATTTTTAAAAAATGTATTGATATAGTCAATAACTTAAATAAATAAGTGATAGTCCCTTTCATCTAAAAATAAAACATCTTAAGTTCAAATTCTATGACATGTAGGTGAAATAAAATAAGGGATAAAAAATATCTGTCTTTTTTATGCAACATAGACAAGAAAAATATATTTATATCCACTTTTTCTTTAAATGCATTTTACTTACATAAAATGCATCTTTAAAATTATCTAAAATATATTAGATTTGAGTAGTACAAAAACAAACTCAAAAATACCTTAATAATCTAAAAAAAAAAAAGGCAAAAAAGAGAATAAAATTTACTCCCTTCAAACCAATTTGTTTGTCTTACATTTTAAAATGAGGGGATATAATTTACTTATCAATTTCTATTTTTTTATTAACTTATCAATTTTTGTTTTAAATAAAGTAGTAAACTTTTTTTCCAATTTTACCCATATTCCTAATTATCATTTTAACACAAACTTAATAATAAAAACTATTTTGAAAAGTGAACACATCCCAAGTAACAAGTTAAAGTTAAATGGTAAAAAATATGAAATTTTAATTAATAACAATTATATTAATAATAATTATTATTATTTTTACTTTTAATCAAATCAAACAAGTGAAGTAGTAATTGCCACTCTGCCAATAGCAGGTACAAAGATTCCCTTAAAGATTTTTAATGGAGACAAAAATTGCTCCTCATCCCTATTCCCTCATCCTTATTCCCACGGAGAATAAGAGTCCTGGGAGAACTCCCCATCTCCTCCAAATTTTAATAAAATAATAAAATTTTTATGTCAACCATTAAAAACAAATAATCATTTCAAAACAGAGTATATGATTAAAAAATTTCACATCATTTTAGAATTTAAATTTTAAATATAAAATAAACTTTAAATAAAACTTATTTAATTAATAAAAAATAAAATATAATAACAACGTTATGTAAATGAGTTATAGGCTTAAAAGTAAATAATTAATTAAGTTGGCTTGATTTCAATTTATTGTAATTTTTTATTTTCTTACTTTTTGTGGGGCAGGGGGATCCCGCAGCAGGTGGAAAATGTGACGAGGGGTCCAGGAATAATTGCTCCCGTCCCTTCCTCGTGGATAAGTATTTTCCTTGAATCCATTCCTGTGATGGAGATGCCTGTAGAGTTACATGAGTTGCAGGATATATTTTCATCCCTAGAATTGAAAGGAAGGGAGAGAAATAGAAAGGGAAATCAAAAATAGTAAGCGTTATCTCGGATCACGGGCGAGTATGGTATTTAGAATATGTTTGGTAAAATTTATAAGAGTTTTGTCTTTTTAGTATTATTTATATTTTAAAAGTTTAAATTTTTTTTACAAAAATTTATATTTTTTTAATTTTTTTAATTATAAAAAGATCTTAGTAAATTTTAAAATTTTGTATTTTTTATAAATTTTTTTACTCACTCTTTACTCA